AAGAAGTAGGTTTTTAAAAATATTAACAGTTATATTTCTTCATAACCTCTTCATGAGGGAAGAAAGTAAAACAATAAAAAGTTAAATTACAAATGGAGGATAATGTACTACAGTAGAAAAACCAACAAATATGTGGTTATACCGTAAGACTTGCTATCTCAAGACTAATTCTATTACAAAGTGTTCTATTAATAAGGGAAAACTTAGAGAAATCTGCAATTAATTTAAAAACATTTTCTAAAATTAAAATATTCCTTTATCAGTTGTTGATATTTAATTTCTAAAGATCCACAGAAATGAATTAAAAAAAAGATTTCTACTGCATTGTTAAGTTGAAACCTATCCACTGTTTATTTTTGTAAAACAGCTAATCATACATGTTTCTTGTCTTGTCATTTAAAAGATTTTCCTCCTCATAGTTCAAGACAATTTCAATGTGTGGGCCCTCTTTCTTAGTTTAACAGGAGGCTATTTCACCATCAATCTCACTTGGGAAACTACAAGTACAGAAATTTTACATGTGTTATACTCTCTCATATCTTCCAAAATTTTGGAGGAATTTTGTAATTACATTACACTTCAAGTAATTATACTTCTGGATTTTATCCTCCAATCATCAGCCATACTCCCAAACTCCCCCAACACCCAGACGGCTAGAGCACAGTTCTAAGGACAACTTAGCATTAATGAAAACATTCTGGGGTCCCTGGGTGGCTCAGTTGGTTAAGTGACTGCCTTCGGCTCAGGTCATGATCCTGGAGTCCCTGAATCGAGTCCCGCATTGGGCTCCCTGCTCGGCAGGGAGTCTGCTTCTCCCTCTGATCCTAACCCCTCTCATGTGCTCTCTCTCATTCTCTCTCTAATAAATAAATAAAATCTTTAAAAAAACAAACATTCTGGGCGCCTGGGTGGCTCAGTTGGTTGAGCGACTGCCTTCAGCTCAGGTCATGATCCCAGAGTCCTGGGATCGAGTCCCACATCGGGCTCCCGGCTCAGCGGGAGCCTGCTTCTCCCTCTGACCCTCTCCCCTCTCATGCTGTTTCTCTCCTGCTCACTCTCTAATAAATAAATAAATAAATAATCTTATAAATAAATAAATAAATAAATAAAAAACCAAACATTCTGTCAGATTACTTCCTAAAAACATTCCAATATTCAAGAGTCTTTGGGAGAGTCCTAGCAAACCCAACTGTGTTACCTCTTTATCTTTTAGTCCCAGGAGCAATACTTCTTCCATAAGGGTGAGGCGAATATCCTTAGAGTCACCAGAATCTTCACTGTCTGGACTCCTGTCTTGATTAGTGTCTTCCTCACTTTCCATCTTCTTTTCAGAGTTCTTGCCTACTTCAGTGCGACGGGCCCGGTGAGTTAAAGTTGTCATTCTCACCTCTTTCTGGAGGGGGTGATGAAAAAAAAATCTGTAAGTGAGCTTATGTAAACAAAAACATACATATTCATACAGACCTACCACAAATGTATACAAATATGAAATATATATATAAACTTAAACAGAGAAAGAAAGGGGCAATGACCAGAAAAATTAGATGGATAACACAATATGTTTTCTAAAGTACAATAGCTTGAAGGCACAGAAGGCATTGACAGAAAATCAAATCAGTAATCTTAAAGACCAGTACAAATGATCTTTTTTTAAAGAAATGATCATCTTTTAAGCCTGCTGATTTTGTGTGCATAATCTATAATCCAGAAGTATATATGCATCATTGTAATTCTTTTTTCACAAAATGGATCCTCCCCCAAGTTAAATAATATGGGACAGCAAAAAATTGTGAGAATCCAGGCCCAAAATGCATGTAATAATTTATATGTAACTTCTATAAACATTCAATGGCACATCAAAAAATATAAAAAAAAGAGAAAGTAAAAAAACAAGAAAAATTAAATATATATATTCTCAGATTTTCTTCTCATAACTCATCTCATGCACTCCCTTTGGAAATCACATCTACAGAGTAACACTCAGAAGATCATGTGTAGTAATTCCATACGGACAGAAAACTTTCATCTCTATCCCTAGCTAGCCATCTTGCAAATACTCAAATAGCTGCCAACAAAAAGTATCAGCAAGAGAATGTTAAAAGATTAATGATTTCTTTCTCAATTGCAAAAAAAAAATCAAAGCACATGCCCTTTTACACTATGTACTACAAATGTTTTAAAAAATTTAGTCAAGAGAAATGGCACTAAATCATGTATGATAAAATTTAAAGTTAGCATACTTTATTTTAAAATACATCTAAATGTCAGTTTTTAAGATGATATACAATAAATATTTTAATCAGTAATTATTTAAAAGAATATCTTTTTCAAGATCAAAAGAATGCATTCAAGAGCCTCTGTGATTAGATCCTGTTCTAGCAATATTTCCCATTACATTACTCTCAATTACGTACTGTTAACAAACCATTTCTCAAACATGTCCCATGCTGCCATTTCTGCTCCTTTGTACATGGCTGGTGCTCTCTCCCCTTTCCTTTCCTCTTTATATTCTACCCATTCTTCAAAGGCCTATCTAGGATCCAGGTAAAGCCTTAAGTGAATCCCCTTCTCCATTACCCTTATGTCCCATGGCCAGAAATGGTCTCTGTCTCAGCTGTACTTTCACAGAACTTTATTTATACTTACATCCTTTAAAGTATTTATTATAGTCTTTCTTTTGGTATGGCTGTCTCTCAACTGTAAACTTCTTGAGGGCAGGGATATTGTCTTCTTGGGTTTTTATAGTCTCCATAGCAACTAGCACAATGTCTTTAACGTTGTAACTGCTCAATAAATATATACTGATTAAAATGAATACTCAGAAATGCATGTGAACATTTTAAAATAGAAATACAAGTGAAGTGACTTACAAAAGATTCTTTGTACAAGGCTATATTTCAAATACAATTCTTGGTGGGAGGCGGGAAGAAGGGTGAAGGATAAAAAAACAACCATGAAATAATGCTTAAGGGCATTAACCCTATTTGGCACTGTGAACAGGGTTTATTTCCTAACCCAATCCAAGAAACTTTAAGTCTTCAGAGAAAAAAAAAGGAGGGGGGGGAGATTTTGAGGAACTAATACCCCCTGGACATTTACTAGTTAAAAATCCTATTTGGGAAAAAAAAAGACCAAAAAGTAACTAAATAAGAACCTCCCTCTCCCCATAAAATAAAAAATCTGTAGGCTTTTTTGGACATTAGGAAATGTATATCCTCCGTTGCTTACCTGACGTTAACTCCTGGGTTACGGCCGGACACAGGCAGCAGCTTGCGCTCTATTTTAGGGGGACACCTGTTCCCCCACGTTCCTCCCCCCACCCCGTCCTAGTAGGTAAAAAAACTTCTCAGCCACGCAGAGAGCACAAACTTCCTGATCCTTCGATGCAGAGAAGGAATAACACATCAGCTTCCTCAGGATCCCTAGGCAACCTACCTTGGTGTTTCTTCATTGGACCAATCAGAAACCGCCAAGGTTGAGTCCAGCCAATCGGAGCTTACAAGGGGAGGCTCTCCTCGGGCTATTGTGTTGCGATCCCGACAAACACCACCAAAAGGAGGCAGGTTTGGGTCAACCTGACAGCTGGTCAATCCAATGAAGTAACCTTGGTAGAAGAGAGGAAAGGGAGCTGTGCTCCCCACCCCCATTAAACCGGCCAATCAAAGCGTTCAGTGAGCTAGCACAAGCTGCCGATCTACAAAGGTTTTTGTTGGTCAATCTGTAGCAGGTGTGTTAACTGTAGCAGTGTATTCTAGGACAATTAGGTGAGATGTGCTGGGATCCAAAAAAGCTAAGAATAAATAAACATTTTAAAATTGGTTGTTTTCGACAATTAGCTTGTCCCTAACTTTCCTGTTCCAGAAAAACCTGATCTGGGTCAGTTTGTGGAGGTTTATTTGGTTTACCTTAAACAGGATAGGTACATTTCTACCATTACATACACACCAACCTTCTATATTAGCGTTTGTTACTGGCAAACCTGTGGCTAATCTTATGTTTTATAATATGGCTGCTGAAACTGCAAGAAGCAAACAGACCAAGTTTTAAGTCTTCCTTTTTTAAGGCAAAGGAAATGGTCAAAGCTGAAACCAGGTCCCATGTTTCTCACTAAACGCGCAGTATCTTTCACACTACCACTCAAAGTTCTGGGAAGTGTGCTCAACTCTTGCAAAGTATCATTTACGAAAATGATCTCAAAATTAGTACCTAAACATTTTCTGCTAATTAAATAAAAATTAGAAGCCATGGAATAGTCTAGATGCTGAACAATATTTTATTTATGCTGCCCAAAATGCCAGACCTTAAAAATCAGTCCTCATTTTGCCTTGAAGTAAAAAAAAAAAAAAAAAGTTTAAAAAGATTTAAAAAAAAAAAGCACGACTAAATTTTACTGAAGTCACTCAAACGGATCGGAAGTAGAAAATGTTGTCCCAGAATAGTAATTTTTTTTATCTCCTTCCCCCTTCCTTGTCAGTCCCTTATTTTGCCTCTGCCTTTACAAAATCCTTCTATCAGATGCCAGCCTTGTTCCCAGTTCTACCACCTGGCTCCAGAAGTATGCTGCTGAGACGGTCTCCAAGCTCTGACCTGAGTCATTGTCGCAATTCCTTGTTCTTCTAGAGTATTCTGTTGCCACTTAGGCCAGTTCTTTTGGCAGTTGCACCCAACATAGTAAATCCAGACACACACTGACATATTTAAAATATGACCATTACCAATTTTTAATGGTATGTTATGTATTACTATGTTAATATACTCTATCAAAGTGCCGAAGAACATTGTTTTAATGACACAGGGACAAACAGCCAGTTAAGTGTTACAGTTTTAACATAAGTAAAAAGTAAATTCCTACCAAAATTTAATAACAAAATAAACATTATTTGTTTTTAAAATTGGCTCTAGAGGGCCTTAAAAGTTATATTAACATATATTATGTTTAAAGGAAGTATCCATCAAAATGGAAAATAGATCAATATTGAGTAGATAATGAGCAAAATCAATTATGACACTAGTACTTTTGGTTTTATTCAAAAGTTCTCTTGCATTGTCTCAGATAAGACTAAGGATCACAATATGACAGCTAAAAATTCATTTTAGTGTACTAACTGCTTAAGAGTACATATAAATTTTCACAGGTAGGGCAAATACACGTTAAAATAGTAATACAGTGTCCTGTAGTTTAAATGTTGAGTACTTTGCAAACATGCAGAAGAAAAAAATAATTTTTATATATGCTCCTTTGGTTCACTAAACTTTCTTCTTTTTGGCACTGTCTCTTGACTAGAAGAATCAAAGCAATGAAGGACCTGTCAAAAGAAAACAACTACTGAGGATACTTTCCAGTTTACATGTCTTTACTTTTAGATTTTTTTTTATGTTTCTAAGATTTGTTTGCTTGTTCCTTCCTTCCCTTTCTTTCTAAAATTATATGTAGTGTAACCATTTCCTACTAAGATAGGATACCTGAGTTCTTTAAAAAGTAGGGTAAATTTTGGGCGCCTGGGTGGCTCAGTTGGTTAAGCGACTGCCTTCGGCTCAGGTCATGATCCTGGAGTCCCGGGATCGCGTCCCGCATCGGGCTGCCTGCTCGGCAGGGAGCCTGCTTCTCCCTCTGACCCTCCCCCCTCTCATGTGCTTTCTGTCTCTCTCATTCTCTCTGTCTCAAATAAATAAATAAAATCTTTAAAAAAAAAAAAAAGTAGGGTAAATTTTATTACTGATATATCTTCTGATGGCTGCTGAAAGTATATACTTATAAAGTGTAAGGTCTTCATTAGGGTTGTTGGAGAAGTCAAAAACATAGATCTAACATTATGTCCTCAAAATAGTAAAATATTTTTGGGGGATAAGAAGGAAAAAAGATTTTTAAATGAGCTGCAGATGGAGAAACATTCTACCTTGGCACCATGTAAGATTTAAATCATGTATTCCTTTTGTATCCCTGGTACTTAGCAGTGCCTGACAGATGTTAGACATTCACTGCACACTTTTGAATGAATGGGAGAACAAATAAAGAAAATTTCTGGGGTGCTTGGGTGGCTCAGTCAGTTAAGCGTCTGCCTTCTGCTCAGGTCATGACCCCAGGATCCTGGGATTGAGCCCCACATTGGGCTCCCTGCTCAGTGGGGAGCCTGCTTCTCCCTCTCCCACACTCCACCTGCTTGTGCTGTCTCTCTCTCTCTGTCAAATAAATAAACAAAATCTTAAAAAAAAAAAAAAGAAAATTCCTAGAAGTATTCCCTGAGATATTCAACTTTGATTTTTTCTGAAAGAACTCACTAATGATACAAATTGAATGATTTTGAAAAAAAAATCAAAGCTTAATACACTGGGAAAAGTTAGACAATATATTAATGAAGTGTCAGGTTATTTCATCCCCTTAAGTTACGTAAATTGAAAATGATATTAACTATATTTTTGAGATTAGCCCTTTAACATTTGATTTTTAAAGCAGTCTTAGATATTCAGTTGTCTAAATGTTAACCTACTAATAATACTAAAAATTCTAGTTGAAAAATATAAATATTTATCTCAGAAATGACAAATACATGATCTAATTTGGTAAAATAAGGTTCCAAATATGAAACAACTGTTAAAAAAATTTAGGTCAAGAAAATTTTTCTTTCTCCTAAGGTACTAAGAGGAGATGTTATTTTTTAGGGAACAAGTTTATTTGGTAACTTATTTATACTTCACTTTTGTTCTCTAGGAAGCTCAGATCAAATTTGTGGCCCAACTTTAGCTCTATGTAAATAAAATGGCCTAAATATTCTTATACTCTCATTTTCTCATTCTACTCATACTTTTCTGGACATACTGATTTTAATTTTTTTATAAATTTCTCCAACTACTTAAATCATTCATGAAATCAGTAAATATTTATGTGGAAAAAATTAATTAACATAGCACATCTTATTTTAAAATCACCCCATTTTTTAGAACTAATTACATATAAACAAGATTTAGATATCAGTACTTGGAGGTAATATCCAGAGATATTATATTTATCATTTAAAATTTAATCTAGGGGTGCCTGGGTGGCTTAGTCCGTTAAGCGTCCAACTCTTGACTTTGGCTCAGGTCAGATCTCAGGGTTGTGAAATCGAGTCAGGCTCTGCACTGGGCATGGGGTCTGCTTAAGATTCTTTCTCTTTCCTTCTCCTTCTGACCCTCCTCCCTGATCTCCCTCTCTAAAAAAAAATAAATTAAAAATAAATAAATAAATAAAAATAAAATTTAATCTATAGTAATGATAGTCTGATACTTGCCATTTTATTCAACCTATATATTATAAAACTTACTGTTTTCCCAGGTTCGAGTTGACTTCTCTTCCGATTTTCTTTAGAAGATTTTACTGGTTGATTTCCATTAGCCTCCACAAAGATGGAATAATTACTAATTGGTTATTTCTCAAAGAACAACCAACACTTGATTTTTTAACTATGGGCAACTATATGCAGTTTTTTTTTTTAAAAAAGCTTTCCTGAGATATAATTCAGATGCCATACAATTCATTTATTTATAATTTTACAGTTCAATAATTTTAAGTATATTCAGAGTTGCGCAACATCATTGTATTCAATTTTAGAACACTTTCATCACTCCAAAAAGAAACCCTGAGGTTGATTTGTTCCCTTTCTTAATTCTCTTCTTTCTTTTGAAAATTATGCCTAGTATAACTATTTCCTACTAAGATAGGATACCTGGGTTCTTTGAATGTAGAGTAAAGCTATCACTTCCCGATTCCCCCCTTTTCCCACTAGCTCTAAGACTCTCTCTCTATAGAAATCCCTATTCTGGACTTTCAGATAAATAGAATCATATAATATGTGGACTTTTGTGACTAGTTTCTTTCATTTAGCATGTTTCCAAGGTTTATCCAGGTTGAAGCATACATCAGTACTTCATTCCTTGTATGGCTGAATAATATTCCATGGTATAGATATACTATATTTGTATATCCATTTGTCTGTTGATGGATATTTAGGTTTCTTCCACCTTTTGCCTATTGTAAATAATGCTATCTATGCAGTTTTTAAAATGAATATTGGATGATGAAACATTATTAGCTGTCATATTACTATTCTCTAAAAGGACATACTTATTTTCCGTTGCTGAAAATGTACTTTTCAATAACTTTCTTAGTTTAATACTATTAAATATTTTCATTTCTTGCCCTTTCCTAACAATAATTCAGCTATGATTCTCAAAATCAGGAGTACTGTGACAGAGAGGTCATATCCAAAAACATCGGCAATTTCAGAAATGAATTTATGTCCCCAAAGTATCTTAATGTCATATTACAAGAAAATCCTTTCTAATACTTTTTTTTAAATTCTTGCTTTTCTCCCCATATCCTAGTAAAGGATACTCATCCTAAGTAGAATTTGCCTAGAAGACCATTTTACTGCAAGCTGTACTAATTTTTGAAATTCTTTTATCTCTTGCTTTCATCAGCATACTAGTTTGAATACTGCCTTCTGCCAGTTCAAACTTCCTATGGAGAATGTAGAAAAAGGGGACCTGGCCGGCTCAGTTGGAAGAGCGTATGACTCTTGAATGTGGAAAAAAGGGCACCTAAAAATGGCACTATAATCATTGGTGTGCTGGTAAATGTTTAACAACCAGTTCTCTAGGAGTAACAAATCCTGAGTTGAGGCATTTGCTGATTTCCATGATGTGAATATTCTCATCATGTCCAATTTCAAGCTACCAACATGACGTCACTGAATGAAGAGTTGGGAAGAAATGCCACTATACCACTGTTAGAGTGTGCTATTTGTTTCCTAAATTTAGATATAATATTTTACAGAATGGTTTTTCTTCATCTCTGAACCTTTGAGTAACTTAAAGGTCTAAAATAAAATACAAATTTCCATTTAGTAAAAATAAAAAACTAAAATAAAGCAGTGGGTTTTTTGCTGAAAAACATGAGATTCATTTTATGCAAAATATATACAAAACATTCATTTTTAATGTCTTATTAACAAGACAATCTATTTACAAGGTAGAACATGAGAATATTTTGGCATTCTAGGCTATTCTTTGGGAGTCTGGATGATAGTGTCATTTCTCAAAGCCTTTCCTGAATTCTCCTCTTTTATGTACCTTCAATAAAATTCACCATTCTTTCCTTTGTTCCATGTAGCCTATTCAAATTGCTATCATGACCCTCTATCACTGCTTGTTGACTTCCAATTACTAAACTTTTAGCTAAGATCAGGAACTATGTGTTATTCATGTTGTATCTCCAGCACCCAGTAAAATATCTGACACATAATAAGTGCTTACTAAATATTAGTCCAATAAAGGAAGGATTAAGAAGTCAAATAAACTCACATGTGGGAAAAAATTATAAGGTTAGAATGGAAAAAAAACCTAAAGGTACACTTACCATTTTATTCTGAAAGATTTTTCCACTTCTTGTTTTACTTTCAGACACATCAAGTGCAGATGTTTTACTGACTAACTGTTCAACCTAGAAAATAATAACACAAAATCACATAACATAATAAAAACTTTCCATAACATAATAATGGGGCTCCAAAACTCACTAAGATAAAATCTAGGGTCTTATTATGTTAATGAAAACCATTAATTTTAAGTAGTTCTTACTGTCACAAAAAGGGCAAAGATGAAGATAGTGAAACTGACACTGTATATAATTGATCATTCACTGAACTGAAAAAGTCCCAAATGATCATCAGGCACTACACTACTCTTCCAGAAGATAAGAACTTTAGCTCACTCCCACTGGAGAAAGGGGAAGTGCAGAGGAAGGTGGACAATAATCAGTCCCATTATTTTCAAGTTCTTTTTAGCTAAATGCTATATCAAGATTTTATTGTCTTTGGAAAATGAAATTAATCGTGTCTGCTCGAGGCAACAAAAAGTATTATACTCTCCATTTGTAAATACAAAAGGTGCTGGAATAATTGCTTAAGATTCTATCTAGCTCTGAAATTCTGAAATTCTATGAGCAGTATTTAGGTTTATTACTAAATAAAGCCACAGTAATATACTCAAAACTTTTCAACATATATTTTTCAAATTTTGTTAAAAAGCTTTCTTAAGACCTAATTTTATTCTTCTTCTTCTTTTTTTTTTTTTTTAAGATTTTATTTATTTATTTGACAGAGAGAGACACAGCGAGAGAGGGAACACAAGCAGGGGGAGTGGGAGAGGGAGAAGTAGGCTTCCCGCTGAGCAGGAAGTCCGATGTGGGGCTCGATCCCAGGACCCTGGGATCATGACCTGAGCCGAAGGCAGATGCTTAACGACTGAGCCACTCAGGGGCCCCCAAGACCTAATTTTCTTCTAAAAGACCTTGAATATAATAAGAAAATCTGAAAATTAACTAAATAAGCATATAAGTCATAGTCTTCTGAAAAAAAATTAAAAGTGAGATGAATTATCAAATTTATACCTGAGAATGAGAAATTGAAAGATCTAGACTTTCTTTAGACCTCATAATTTCATCTTCCTCACAAATTAAACTTGGTTCTGTTAAAAAAAAAAAGAGTTAAAATGGTATAAAACTGAATTAGAAGTAAATTAATCTATGTTTTCATCAATTTCTTACCTCCAAATTCAGAAGATCCAGGGTTTTTTTTCTGCTCTTCCATTTTAGTTTCAATGTCAAAATCATCCTACATAATTACATGAAGAAAAAAATGGACACATTTCAAAAAGCAATTAAAACAACTGGGTAGAAGTATTTATGAACAGATGTGTTTTACGTGAAGGTTAAATATAACATAACACTACAACTACCTTACACATGCTAGAAATAAAGTCCTATAATTACCATACAAGGTACCATATTTATCCAAATAAAGTATAAACTACTACTTTACTTTGCAGGGTTGCTTTAAGGACAAAATACACAACTTTCTAAAAAATATAATGGTTTTAAAACCCTTAGTTCTTACTATTGTTTGAGGGCAATGAATTAGACAAATTCATACAACCACTCCTTCTATATCTTCTTTATCTCCGGAATTGCTATACAGATGTTATCATATACTCTGAATAAAAAAAATGCCCCAACCCTCTTCAGGGAGTTAGTGAAGAAAAAGCTCAGTCATGGTATGGTAGAAATAGCAACAAGTTTAAGGTCTACTTTATAATTATTTTTCTCTTTGTGACATATGTCAAAGAGCTTTAAATATTTTAAAGAATGCAACATAAATCCCAGCTATATCTGTTTATAAACCATCACTGGGATTTAGGTTTAGAGAAGACTTCTTCTTGAACAAAACTGGTTGAAAACTGAATTTTCTATTTGTTAGGATGTGGCAGAACCTAAATTAGAAAAGTCAGTCTCTATACATAAGTACTGAGGTTATAATTTAGAATAAAATGAGGTAACAGAATAACAACAAAGATGAGATTAAAAAACAATCATGTTAATGTGAAAGATTTCCCGGGAGGCAACAATTAAAAAAAGGCTTTTTTATATTTCTAGTCATCCGTTCATTCAACCAATACTGAGAATGCACACTGTACACTTAAGTGCTAGGCACAGGAGGTTTACGAAGATGAGACATTTTTCCTGCCTTCTGGGAACTTCCAGGCTGCTTCAGGACAGTGACTTTGCAGGCCCCAAGGAAGTTCAAGTACAGGTCTAAAGTGAGCACCTAGTAGGGGTATGGTAGAAAGGATTCCAACATTATTTGGGCGATTGGAGTAGTTCAGTGGTTTTCAAATTATGCTCCAGACCAAAGAGTTTCCTTAGAGTCCACTATGAGGGTAGTTGAGGTGGTGAGTGACTGGGCCTCCAGGACCATTCCCTGCTTCATTCAGAATAGTTGTGCTTTTAAATTTCTGATAATAATGTTTGTACCAAGGTAAAGAGTTTTAAAACGAAAAGCCGATACTTTCTTTAAGGTCCCTACCAACCTTGAGTTTATGATTATAATACAGTCTTTACATAAATATTAATGAGAACTAGAATTAGTCTTCAGAATTGAGTCAAACATTTGTTACTATTGTACTTTATAACTCTTTAAAATGTACTGACACTTATATAATGCTCCTGTTCATCTTCTACATCATCTTTGTCCATGAGAATTTTTTGAAGTGGTGTTTTTAATTGTTTTGGTGACAATATAGCTGAATCAATATTTTCCATTCGTTCTTTCTCAGTAGTCACTTTTACTTTGAAGGTGTGAAAAGGTGTTGGGACTTCTCCCACATTTAAGTACATAGGCTCCCCTTCAAATATCACTCCTTCACAATCACCATCCTTAAAACCAGGAGGCTGGTAATCTGGGGGTGTAACTGCAAAAAGTAAGTATAAACTGTGATGTTCATGAAATTGAAGGGAACATAATAACAATAATAATAAATACAGATTGAAGACATTTCAAATAGTATAGAAAAACAACCTTTTTTTCTTCATTTGACTATATGAACTTGAATAAATTATTTATCATCCTTGATTTGGTTTTCTCATCTGAAATGGGGATAATATAGTACCTACCCCATGGGGTCATTGTGGGTGTTAGATGAATTAAAGTGTGTAAAATGCTCAGACCAGAACTGGCACATTTTAAGTATTCAATAAATGTTAGTTGTTATTATTGTTGTTGCTTTATGTACTTCTAGAAGATATTACACATGTAAAATATATATTTCATATATATGTATATCCTTAACAAAACACAAATAAGATCATACTGTTTGATACCTAGCTGTTTTTTTTTTTAAGATTTTATTTATTTGAGAGAGATAGAGCGTGTGTGTGTGTGTGTGTGTGTGTGCATGTGGGGGGTGGGGAGGTTGGGGATGGGGAGGAGCAGAGGGAGAGGAACAAGCAGACTGGTACTGAGTGCAGAGCCCAATGGGACTCAATCTCATGACTCTGAGATCATGACTTGAGCCAAAATCAAGAGTCGGAGGCTTAACCAACTTAGCCACCCGGGTGCCCCTATACCTACCTAGCTGTTTTTAACATTTCTTTTTAATCCATATTTAATATTCCTTGGATAAATTATCAGCACATTCTTTTTAATAGCTTGCATGGTATCCTTATAAACCTATAACGTTGCATGTTTGTGTTAAGTATATTCCCAAGATACTTTTCTAGCTATAGAATTTCCGAATTAAAGAGAATGTGCATCTAAAATTTCAATACTGCTAAATTGTCCTCTAAAAATGTTGCACCTATATACATTCCCTCAAGAATTTATAAAAGTGCCTGCTTTCCCCCACACCCTTGTTTACAAATCTTACTGCTCTGGTAAGTGAAAAGTAGCATCTCAACAGTTTCATTTCTTTTATTATTAGTGAGGTTGTACCTAAGATGGATATGTTCATATCACTGGAAAAGTTTGTGTATATTTGAAAGTCTATTTTTTCAAAACTTTCTCTTTTTTTAAGATTTTATTTATTTATTGGATAGAGAGAGGGAAAGAGAACACAAATAGTGGGGAGGTGCAGAGGGAGAGGGAGAAGCAGACTTCTCGCTGGCGGGGGCTGATGCAGGGCTCAATCCCAGGACCCTGAGATCATGACCTGAGCCAAAGGCAGATGCTTAACTGATGGAGCCACCCAGGAGCCCCTGAATCTTTCTTTTTCAAATACTGATATTAAATGAAAATTTTATAATTTCAAAAAATATATTGCAATTTAGGTGCTTAAAATCATTTGGGATGAAAACCAATTGTTTCAATAATAAAACATATAGGTACCAACAGGATGTATTATAAATAGTACCTTCATCGTAGTAAAAAAGTTTCATGGTCAAACAAACATCATTAGGTAAAGGTCCCAGATTTTGCATTAGAATATAAATCTTGCGAATGAGGAGAATACTTGCTTTCTTGGTGTCAGCAGATGACATACTAGATTCACTGCTTTGGTTTTTACTAGAAGAGAAGCACACATTAATTTCTTTTATGACACCAGGGCTTCTAATAACAACTTCACATTTTACTATTTGATATTCTTACTCCTATTATACCATTAAGTTTTTAAGTTGAAAGTTACCATAAAATGTGTTTTAATGTCACTATTATTAAAATTAATATCATTACTAATAATGTTATAAACTAATAATTTTATTTAAATTAATATGCATTTTATATAAGATGTTTAAAGGAAATGAGTGAGGGACTTTAATTACATTTCTAATCACTCAAGCATATAATAGCTTTCCTACTCTTTGGCTCTGTTTCACATTAAAATAGTATATAATTAGCCACATAATCTGGGCTTGCAGCTATGAAGGATATTTTGTACAGCCACACCTCAATGGTTAATTGGGGATGTTTGAGAAGTTTAAGAATTAATCCTGAAGTTTAGCAATATATTATTAATATGAATAAGTGGTAATGTGTAATACAAAAAGAAAATGATAAAATACCTTATGAAGTCCATGATTGGTCCATTACTAGAGTACTTGAATTTAAATTGGTAACATTCTGAAATTGTCTTAAATAGAAAACATTGCAGTTATGTATTTGATATACAGTACTGGTGGCCAAGTAGCTACATACAGCTTTTGTATGACTCTTAACATTGATTTAATAGTTTTTTCTGCCATGTTAATCCTTATTGGTCCACTGAAACTTTCAAGTCCTAATAGTAAATTCCCATGATTTGGGATTTGGGGCTTCAGTCTTAAGTGAGATATATATTATCCCACTAATTGTAATGTATATCATATATACCAGAGGGGAGGAAATCCTTAGCAGGCAGGTAAGAGGGGCAGTATTATGTCTTACTCAAGCAGAATGGCTTTAAGCACAGGGCTTAAATCCTTGCTGTATATAACCGGAAGCAAGTTATTTAAGCCTTCTAGGTTTTAGTTTCCCCAGCTAATAAAAGGGGTTGAAAATAGTACCTATCTCATTGGTGGTTGTGAATATTTAACAAATAGGATAATTTATACAGAGCCCTTAAAATAGTGCCTGGCATACCAAACAATCAATAAATATTAGTGAATCAACAAGGTTGCTCTTTTACTGAAAGAAAAAATGTTCAACTCCATAAAACATCTGAAACTAAATGAATATTTTCTGAACAATTAGTTAGCTTCTGAACAATCAACTAATTCACAACCTTTGCCCATGAGATTTTCTTTGTCACCATGGACATATATTAAGCATTAACTTCAGGGGTGAGTATCAAAGAGAAGACACATTGCTAGCCTTCTTGAAGCTTTTTTTATTGCTTTCTTTACATTTCAGTGCTCACATAGGAATGGGGATCAGCTCTCTCTTTTTTAAAAAAAAATCTGCTTCTCCACGACTGAATGAAAAACTATATTATAATAGTGATAGTGTAATGGTTAAAGCACCAAGATCATGGACTGGCCTCCTTAGGTCCAAATTCTGGTTCTGCCACTGTGATCTTAGGCAAGAAATCTTGTATCTAGGTTTCCTTACCTATAAAGTGGAGATGATAATGGTAGTTACCTTATGAAGTTTATGATGATGAGTAAAGGAGACAACTCAAAGAACAGAGTCTAATAATAGTAGGTACTCAAATATCTTTCCACTTTGTTCCTTGTTATTGGTTTTCCCTATCACTTCTTGTAATCCCTTCTTTAATTGTCAGATGAACAGGTGGATGTGACTGGATTGGGACGAATATTCAAAGTTCAAGGATAAGTATCTTATTTTTTGTCAAACTCAACCCCTTTCAAAATTTTATAAAAAGAACGTTATATAGAAGCAGAAGTCAGGAGATTTAGGTTATTTCTAAGGGGTTTTGGATTTGTGGCCCAGGATCAGTCACACAATCTCTCTGGTAGTAAGTATATTAATCTGTTTAAAGATAACAATACAATCCTTGTCTTACCTCAAAAAAGCCTTTATGAGGTTCAAATGTGTAAATACATGTGAAAGTGAATACAATTAAAAGCATAAGATAAAAAAAAGAAAAAGAAAAAAATAAAAGCATAAGATATTATAATTTATGTTATATTTAGATATTAGAGATATCATGTTTCTTTACTAACTTAAGCACACCTACCTGAGGGTCTTCTGGATTGGTGTATACCTATTTAAAAATAATTTGTAATTGAGTTATAGAAGACTAAGTATTCAAGGAGAACTAAATTGGATGTTTAGACTAAACTATTAAATGGATTCAGCAAAAGCAAAGTACAAAATGACCCCCCAAAATATTAATTTGTTACTTTTTTCCACTGAATAGAGCATTTGTTTGAATAAAGTGACATAATCAATTGCTGGTTTTAGTGTTATTTAAATAAGCAAGGCCGAATTTGACAGTCTTTAAGAAAGAACATACAATTTAAAAATACTTACAGCTAGAACAACCATCCTTAGCTGAAATATAACAGAGAACAAAAATCTTACTTTTACTCTATAAAATATTTTTTCATGATGGATCACAAGAATTTTTTGTCTTATTTCAACATTTATTCCTAATAAGAAATAATCTTGCAGAAAATATGATGTATATAAAGCAACACCTTGGATGTCCTTCCTTATTCCCCCAAATATCTATTTCTAGTTGACTTACTGAAAGTTGACATGCAGGACATTGATATAAGCAAATACAGGCATTTCTGCCAGTTACAAGGAAAATATATATTGTGAAATAACATACTAAACCTTACCAGTGTAAGAACTGATTTTGAAAAGAGAAAAGTAGAGTTCAGGACTCTGCTCCTTTAATAAAGGGAAGAGGCTTTAGAGACCATAGGAATAGAGAATCGCAGGAAATAATCCACTCAAGTAATCTGCCAAAAATCTGAGTCATCCTTGATCTGGATCTTTTCCTTACACTCTACAACCAATCTATCAAGTCCAATCAGTTTTACTGCTAAATATATCCTGAATCTTTTCATTTCTTTCCTTCTCTGCCATGCTGGTCTAAGCACTGGTGATTTTTCACCCGTACAGCATTAACAGATTAAGCACCATTCTCCTGGATTCCAATCTTACTCCCCTTCCACTGTATATTGTCTTAACAGCAGCCGGAGTGATTTTTAATTTAAAATATAAATCAAATGATGTTACATTTCTACTTAAAACCTTCAAGTGGCTTTTATTTGCACCTAAAATAAAATTGAAACTCCTTACCTATACAGTCCTGAATGCTCTGGCCCTGCCTATCTCCTTAGGCTCCTCTGGTCTATTCTCCCTCCCCTACTGCTCATTGCATTCCATTCCCATTAACATTGGCCTTCTTTTTTTTTTTTTTTTTTAAGATTTTATTTATTTATTTGAGATAGAGAATGAGACAGAGAGAGAGAGAGCATGAGAGGGGGAAGGATCAGAGGGAGAAACAGACTCCCTGCTGAGCAGGGAGCCCGATGCAGGACTCGATCCCAGGACTCCAGGATCATGACCCGAGCCAAAGGCAGTCGCTTAACCACCTGAGCCACCCAGGCACCCAACATTGGCCTTCTTTTTGTTCCTTGAACTCTCTAAACTCCCCTTCAACTCTTTGTATTTGCTGTTCTGCCAGAAATATTCTCTCCCAAAGTCAATGCCTGGCTGCTTTCTTCTCAATCAAGTCTCAGCTTAAATGTCACCTACTCAGGACCACCCTATCTAAAGTTACCCCACCTCTCCACCTGCGACACACTTTCTCTCAGTATTTTATCGGCATTTAACACAATTGGAAATTATCTGATTTACTTGTTTTATTGACTGTTTTCCCACGACAGAAGGGACCCTCTTTGTCTCATTGACCACTGTTAGTTCACCCAGCTCCTACCTAGAATATGTGTCTAGCACATGGCAGGCACTCAGTATTTAATTAGTATTAAATATTTAATGCCTTAATAAGGGAGGTTAGTGACCATGGATAAAATTTTATCTTTTTTACAATTTTGTTCAGAGCTTGACTTCTTTATATATGCTGATATAAACATAAGTATATAAAAACACTTACAGTCTACAGTAAACACTTATTAATTGAAATTTCACTTATTCAGAATTGGTGACAATTTAACCTAGACTACACGGAAATTTACTTTTGAACTCTCACAAAGAAATAATTTATTAAATTATTAGTATAAACAAAATTGTAGAAGGAATGTGAAACTAATAAATGAAGTATTTTAAAAGACTTTTTAATTCATTAAGTTTTTGTAAGTTAGTATGTGTTACTAAAACAAATACGTGTTAACAATTAAAACTGGCTTGGCAAAATTTGTTAAGTATTAATTCTATTGGCTTAAAATGATTGAATATTAGTCTTTAAAATATTCAAATATTCAAACTTTTGAGTAATTTGGATTGGCCTATGCCCAAGTTAGTTTAATGTTTTACTTTGTGTCAACTGTTATTACATTTGTAGAGTATAAACAGTAGGAAAAAAGATAAGGAGATATTGACTTACGTATTTTTTTTGTAAAGCATCATAGCATCCTAGCATCCTAAAAAATAACAAAGGATTCATTTTTAGATTGAATGCATTTCCAGAAAAGAATTCTTTTAATAAGTCTCCATGTTATCTCATTACTAAAGAATACAAAATTTTCTTATTAAAGCTCCCTTCTTTTTTTTTTTTAAGATTTTTATCTTTTTTAAGTAATCTCTACACCCAATGTGGGGCTCAAACTTACAACCCTGAGATCAAGATCAAGAGTCACATGCTCTACTGACTGAGCCAGCTGGGCTCCCCAAAGCTCCCTTCTTATTAACCAGCTTAAAATAATAAAACAAAACAAATAGTGGCAGAAATATAAAATGTTGATAGAGGATGGTTCGGGATAGGAGGTAAAATATCTGAATAACATTAAAAAAATGTTATTTAAAAAAAAATAATTTAATATCATTAGGTATTCTTTTACTTACCACTTCACTAACTGTGTAGATCCTGGACAGTTTTTATCTTCTCTCAGAATTTTGACACAAAGATCTAAACACCAAAATGATATAAATATAGGGTTGCTTAAGTTTAGTAAACAACTAGAAATTTAACTGAAGATTATTTTCTTCAGCTGTGTATTAGAGATATATTTTTAAATGGCAATGAACTTCCAGATGATTGGTAGTAATATAATTTAAAAGAAGAAAAGTTTTATGGAAACAAAGAATCTTTTTATCCTCATTATAAAATGGCATCATAATGATTAAGATACATGTTGATGGGTAGAAAAAAATTATTTTTTAAAAGTTATAAAATATTTGGCGCGCCCGGGTGGCTCAGTCGTTAAGCGTCTGCCTTTGGCTCAGGTCATGATCCCAGGGTCCTGGGATCGAGCCCC